TAGCATATGTTTTCCAGGTTCATCCATGTTGTAGCATGTATCAAGAATGAATTCCTTTTAATTGCCAAATAGTATTCCATATTATAGATCTACCATATTTTGTTTATTCATTTATCAGTTGATGGACATTTAGAATGTCTTCAGTTGTTTGTTGCTATGGATAATGGTCCTACGAACCTTTGTGTGCGTGCCATTGTGTGAACGTGCGCGTTCATCTCTCTGATAGATTTATAGGAGTGGGATTGCTGGATTGTATTGTAAATTTATGTTTAACTTTTTAAGAAATTGCACTGTATTTCAATTTTACACTACATTTTACATTACCCCTAGCAATGCATGAAGGTTTCAGTTTCTCCGTTTCCTCTCCAACATTTGTTAATGTGTATCTTTTTTATTATAGTCATTCTAATGGATGCCTAGTGGTATTTCATTGTGGTTTTAATTTGCATTTCCCTAATGATTTTTTAAAAATATGTTTTTATTGATTTTTAGATAGAGAGGAAGGGAGAGGGAGAGATAGAAACATCAATGAGACACATCAATGAGCTGCCTCCTGCACGCCCCCTGCTGGGGATTGAGCCTGCAACCATAGCATGTGCCCTGACCCAGAATCAAATCCAGGACCTCTTGGGTCCATGGGATGCCACACCAGTTGGGTGATTTTGAGCATCTTTTTGTGCAATATTAGATGTAGGTATAGCTTCTTTGGAAAAGTATTTATTCAAATCTTTTGCACATTTAAAAAATCTGGTCAATTGTCAAGCTCTATACATTAGTCATTATAAATTCTCTCTATGTATTCTGATACAAGGCCTTTATCAGACATATGATTTGTACATATTTTATTCCAGTCTGTGACTTACGTTTTTGTTTTCTTAATGGTGTCTTTTCATGTAGCCCAACTTATCAATTGTTTTATAGCTTGTGCTTTTGGTGTTGAGTTGTGAGATTTTGAGCAAGTTGTCTAACCTCTGCAAGCCTCTGTTCCTTTGTCTATAAGATTAGAATACTAATTCATACCTCAAAGGTAACTGTGACTTACATCTGGTTTCCCTGTTTCTGTTTGGAAAAGAGGAGGCTGCAAGTTCAAAGAAATGGTGCTTTTGGTACTTATGGTTGACTTGCTGGGGGTAGGGGACTTGGAATGTCTAAAAGATACTGAATATATCTGCTAATCATTTTTGCTCTCATCTTCTGACCCAAGAGATCAGCTTCATAGATGGAAGGGAATAAGCAGTACAGGTAAGGGGAACCAAATTGCATAGGAGGTTAAGGATGGATGAAGTTACTTGGAAGGGCGAAGGATAGGAGGGACGGATATGAAGAAGCTTGAGGAAACTTTTGATAGATATAGTAATAATCTTGATTATGACGATGGTTTCACAGGTATATACATATGTCAAAACTTACTGAATTATATACTTTAAATATGTGCTGTTTGTTGTATATCAGTTACCTCAATAAAACCGCTTTGTAGAAAGAAATTTGTACACCTATTAGGATGGTTATAACTTTAAAAAAATGCAGAAAATAACAAGTGTTGGTGAGAATGTGGACAAATTGGAACTCTCATGCATTGCTGCTAGGAATGTAAAATCATAGAGCCATTGTGGAAAACAATTTGGTGGTTCTTCAAAAAATTAAAGATAGAATTTACATATGGCCCAGTAATTCCATTCCTAGGTATATACCCAAAAGAATTGGAAGTGGGCACTCAAACAGGTATTTATATATCAGTGTTCATAACAGCATTATTCATAATAGTATCCATCAACAAATGAATGGATAAGGAAAATGTGGTATGTGCATACAATGGAATATTACCCATTAAAAAGGAGTGAGAGCCTGGCTGGTGTGGCTCAGTGGTTGAGCGTCAACCTATGAACCAGGAGGTTACAGTTCAATTCCCAGTCAGGGCATATGCCCGGGTTGCGGACTTGATCCCCAGTGTGGGGCGTGCAGGAGGCAGCTGATCAATGATTCTCTCTCATCGATGTTTCTCTCTCTCTCTCGGAGTGAGATTCTGATACATGTTGCAACATGGATGAACTATGAAGGCATGCTCAGTGAGATAAGCTAGAAACAAAAGGACAAGTATTGCATGCTTCCACTTAATGGGTACCTAAGATAGGCAAGTTACAGAGGAAGAGAGATTACCAGGTTCTGGGAGGAGAGGAGAATGGGGAATTGCAGAATTCTGTTTGGGATGATGGAAAAGTTTTGTAAATGGATAGTGGTAGTGGTTGTATAACATTGTGAGTGTACTTAATGCCAGTAAATTGTACACTTAAAAATGGTGAATTTTATGTTATATTTATTTTACCACAGTAAAAATGCCCAAAACGAATAGACCAAGTGATATATAAGTTTAAGTGGAGATAGCAGTAAAAAATATGTAATGAGAAGTTGACAAGTCAGCCCCAGGGATGAGGTCAGAAGTAGGCAAGTTCTTCCTGGTTCCTTTACCCCATCACTCACGCCTATAATTATTATAAATTTATTATATTTCTTCAATCCCGAGTCTCCAGGCACTTAGATGGGGCAAGAGATATGTAAAGTAAAAAAATGAATTGAATGCATTTAGCCTGGGGAAGAGAGGACTTGGGGGAGGCAGGACCGGAGTTGAAATATTTACAGGGCTGTCGGGTAGCGGAAAGAGGAGCTTATTCTGTGTGCTCCATAGATAGGAAGCAGGATTTCATGGGAAGCAGATCTTCCCTGCCTCTGAAAAAAGGAGTAACGTTTAAATAAATAGAACCGTCTGTAAGTGGAGTAGCTCCTTGGAATGCTGGAAATGGGTAAACCGCTGCATAAGATGGGCAGTTGGACCATGTGCTCTTTGTCTTGGCATCCCAGCAGAAACAAGTAGGGAATGTCAGTAAGGATTGTGAAGAGTATTGAATGAAGGAACTACATTGAAAGGTGTGAGCAAGATTGAGGGAGTCTACCAAGATTGTTGAGGCTCCAGTGAACTAGCCCCAGGGGGACGGCCTTACCTTCAGGCCTGACATCGTGAAGGAGGCAGTGCCGTTCAAGGAGCCCAGTGGAGCTGTAGACGGGGAGTCAGCCACAGTGGGAAAGGGGAACCACCCAATGGAAGCTGGCCGGCCGCCATTGGCCAAATCACGGCTCCAAGGCAGAGCAACAGCAGCGGCAAAGCTTCCAGCCTTCTGTCTCCTGCATCTTTCATTGACAAACCCAGGTGGAAGCCCGGAGTCACAGAAGCTGCAGTGATGCAGCTGTTAGGGAGAGACCAACTTCCTGGGGTACTGGGTGGGGCAGAGAAGTGTGTCCAAGGTTTCTTCCACCTCCGAGGTCTACAAGCTTTGAGGTTATGATGCACTCGATTTTCATAGCAGACACCCTAATTCCCACCCCATCCCAACTTGGAAAGAGCAAAAGACCCAAAGATTGCAACTGATACTCTATGAATGGCTAGTATATGTGTGAAGGTAAAAAGGTGCTTGGGTCATCTGGCGATATCCATGGATCAGGACGTGTCCTTGGAAGCTGAAAGGTGGGAAAGAAGCCATCCGTGAGCCAACACAGAGTGACTGAGCACGCCCTGTACGCCAGGCATGTTCTAAGTGCTGGAGGTCCCACCCTGAGTAAGGCAGAGCAGGGGCCCTCTCTTCTTACATAGAAGTAGGGGCAGACGATAAGCATCTATTCATTATGGGGAAAATTAAATACATAGCTCCTGGTACTTCCAATACAGCACTCTCCACATTATGAATGAAAACCTAAGTAAATCAAAGTGCTTTTACATTCCTATTCAAAGTAGGCAGATATTATATTGTGGTGTGCCACAAACAAAATGGAACTTTAGCATACAAAAATTAATTACAGATTCAGAAGTTGAAAACTTATCTCAGGAATTCATAATTTTATGAGGCTTTAATTTATATTGTTATTTTAGACTGACTATCCCTTTACTCTGAGGTAAGTTCAAGAAAATTCATGAGGAGAGAAACTTTTCTTGGAGTTTTTCTTCTTTAGGCAGTTTGGTATTTAGTGTCAAAAATACAACTTTCAAAATAGTGGAGAATAAATTAATGATGTTCAGCAATATAGAAAAGTCCTCTATATTTTTTTTTCTCCTTTAGAACTTACTAGTTTATTTACTACTTGGGTGCCAATCTATTATATTTTAGGGACCAAGAACATCTGAATATGCAAAATAAAATATTGCTCTTATATTTGAAGACATTTCCTTTGGTTTTTCTTTTCTTTCTTTTTTACTTTTTTCCTTTTCCACCCCTTTTGGGCAATGCTTACCTCTGTGCAAATAAAGAGGTTTTGAATATACCTTGGGATCAGCTATATCTTAAGAAACGCGGTGTCTCCCAGGAAGTCATTTTCTTAGCATCCTTACCAGTGTAGTAGAAAGGTCCTCCCCCGGTGTCTTCGGCTGTCATCTTTGCACAGTAAGCGGGTCTTTCCCCTTAAGGAGACTCCTGACATGAGGTTGCTGGCTCCATATGTGGGGCTTCTTGTCTGAATCCCTCCCTGCCCCCCGCTGAGTTCTGTGTTCCCTTCCTCTAGAGGTCCAGTCTGACACCCCCACTGTGCGGGGTCAGCAGCTGTGCAGGATGGCCAATTACAATGATCATTATTTGCCTAACCTTAGAGGAAATAATATCACGATTGATTTCTTCTCCAAACTCTGTTGCTGTACATACAGAATAATTATTTGTTTGCATGCCTTAGGCCTATGTGAGAATTTAAAGGTGGATTTTTTGCTTTTCCATTTGGGCAGGATACTATCTATATATATAAAACCCTTATATGCAAGTAAACCAAACGGCGGAACAACTGAACAACCAACCAGTCACTATGACGTGCGCTGACCACCAGGGGGCACACACAGAACATGGCGGGTGTTGGCAGCAGGCAGCAGAGCATGGAACATGGCAAGCATTGGCAGCGGCGGGATGGTGGAGCAGGTGAGTGGGGACTCCAGACCAAGGTGGGGCACCAGTCACTGTCATTGGAGCAAGCCTCTAGTGGTTACTGAAAATTCTTTGCTCCCACGTGCCGTGGTCCCACTGGGCGCTTGCACCTACTGCTGGTGCCTGGCGCCAGCCCCAATTGCTCGGTGCTGTCAGCGGGTGCAAGCGGTGGCTGCGGGCCAGATTGCCCCTCAGGGCTTCTCCATCTTCCCCCTGCTCCTGAGGGGCAGACAGGAGACAAAGGGCCACAGCAGCAGGGGGCCGGGCGGGGGGCACGAAGGATGGGCCGAGACCTGCCCCTGTGCCCACTGCAGCCTTGTGGCCCATAGTTCCTTTCAAGGTGCGCGAATTTGAACACTGGGCCCCTAGTTAAATAATAAACATGGTACAGAGAATGGCTGATAAAGTCTCCTCATTTCTTCCAGTAGTCACCCCCGAGTCTATCTCAAGCATGTACAGGATCAAGTATCCATTAGACCTTTTTTATTTTTTGTACTTCTGTGGGTCTTCGTAGAACTCTGGAAGTGCTGTGACCTTTTAAAAATTAAATTAAATTAACTAAAAAGGGAAAGAAAAGGAGCCTGCATTTTCTGGAGTTTCCCCAGAGGCCTTTTATCTGTTTAGACTACGCAGGGATTTTTCACATATTGACATAAGCATTCATTTGCTAATTTGGTGGACATTAAACTGCGTGGAGCCTTCCCCAGAATCTTGAATGAAGTGAAATCCTTGGGTCCTCTGGGCTGCTCTGGTCCTGCAGCTCTCTCTGCGCACAGCCGATCCCCCTCCAGCTCCTCAGATAAAAGTCAGTGCTGATCGCCTTAAGGAAAGAATGAGTTAAATGGACCAACATTCTGGGCCTGGATCTAAAAATCCTGGCCCTTTGAGAGGCGCCCGAGCACCTGCAGCAGCAAGGTCATTTGCACATACATAAATAAATAAATTAACAATGAATAAATAATTTAATCCCGGCCACACAATGCCACCTTGCAGATTCGATCCCTGGCAGCTCCCAGTGAATTTGTCCATTTCTAATTCTTTTTGATAAAGTCCTCAGATACTTGCTGACTGTCAGGCTCATTTTCTTATTGTTTTCACTTGATTAGTTCTGTATGACCGAAGGTCGCCCTTAAAATCCACATCTCTCAGGAAGACTCCAAAAGGCCTTCTTTTTAGTACAAAAAGGGTGGAAAGGGCCTGCCTTTCTCCATACAATGGCCTGGAAAGTTTTTTTGTCACCAGCCTCCTGAAGCAGCCCTTAGGTTACCCAAGCACAGAAATAACTCATTAAGGGGCACCATGTTTTCTCAACCTCTTTATCCGGTGCACTTGGCTGTGCCCCTGACAGCTCTCCCAGGTCCTGGAGGAATGGGCCACCTCCCCTTGAACCTGCTAGGCGGCCCTGGCCGTGACAGCACCAGGCTGTGGAGCCTGCCCGCCCACACCGGTGCCCAGGCTGTGTTCCATGCCCATGATCTTTGGGGAAAGATGCTGGCCTTCTTGGGGGGAAGGGGAGAGGCAGGAGGGGGACTTTTTCCCTTTCTTTTCTTTTTAAGCTGGCAGGAAGTTGCTGCCGGATCCTCATTTTCAGGCCACACATTCAGTGTGGGGGTGGGCCCAGAGGTAGGAGTCCTTTCGAAGTCTCCATCTCTGTGATCCCCATCTCCAGGCCGAGGCCTCCTCACACTGTGTCACCACTGCCCACTCACTGGTCATGCTCTCCTCCGCCAAGATCGCTCCTCGAATGGGAGGGGAAAATGAGACCCTGTCTTGGTTGACTACAATAGCCTTAATGAATGGGAACCAAATTCCTCACTTCCGTTTTCACTGAAAAATTTACAGGTTGTTTCCGCAGTTCTGATAAAGCTTTCCATGATTCCTGACTGTCAAGTCTTTTGGATATTCAAGGAGATTTTCTTTGTAATATTTTTCTCCTTCCTTCTTCTGGACCATCAACTAAAAACTTGCTGTATTAGATAGAGTCTTACAATGGTTAGTGTCTTTTGAGTACTTAAGGGAGGTGTCACTAAAAGCTATAGTACCATGTGAAAGTTTGAAAAGTAGGCTCCACAACCCACATGGAAATCTACACGATTATGTTTTAGAATCTCATCACATACTCCCTTTTATGTGATACTATTTTAAGAGTGGATTTTCCTATATTTGGGTGCCTTTCAGCAGTTTTCCAGAAGGACAAATTACCTAGGCTGAACTGTCAAAGCCCTCCAGGAGTTTGGTTCCATCATCTGAGTTGTAAAAAGGCAGATAACATAGTCTTGGCCCCAGATGAAGTCAAGAGACCTTGTCAACGAGACCCTTAGCTCAGGCCCTGGAAGAGCACGCTGGCGTGTGCCATGCACAGGAGGGTGAGCTTTCTGACCTCAGTGGTGTTTGTGTGCCGACAGCGCTCCAGCTCTAGCAAACCTCCAGGCAACAGGCACCAAAAGTCATGAATTTATATCCATTTGTGTCATATCTGAGCCACTAAAACAAAACTTTCATCCCCGAAAGATCCATCACTTAGGGATGTGACGGCAAAGAGAAAACGCAGCTTCAAATGCATGTGTTACCGCTTCGTGCTCAGTGTTCATGGCCCCGGGTGTGCAGGGCTCTCTGGCGACACTGGGACAGTTGAAACTTTGTTACTGACGAAGGAGGGAGGGGTTTTAAATGATTGTACCTTTCTCTGTAGGAGAGAGTTATCAGTCTTTTTAATGAGAACTCTCTATTGGAGGTCTCTTGAGCTCTGTGAAGAGCAATTTATGAAAAGCCAGAAGTGTCTATACTCCCAGCAAGAAGACTGCCGCAAACAGAGACCCCCAGCAATGGGGAAACTGCCACACACAAGTCCCATGCTAGGTCATAACACAGGTCTAGCCTTTCCTTCCTTTGGAAGCTATAAAGCATTTCGAACTTACAGAAGAATATAGAGAGTAATATAGCAAACACTTGTTTACCTACTACCCAGATGCAATAGATCTTAATTCACATTTTGCTGTATTTGCTTCAGCTCTTTTCTTGAAAAAGTTTACAGATGCAGCAGAAGCCTCATTAGTCCCCCTCCCTGATCACATTCCCTCTGAGCCGACCCAGGATACTCTCAAGTTTTCGTCTCCACAATTTACCTGGTAGGATGAAAGTATAATCTCAATGTGTAAACATATTGTATACACACAGAGCAGAGTGAAGAATATACGTGAAAAGGTTAGCAGTTGATTTTTATAAAATTGGGGTTTTTTCTTCTTTGTACTTTGGGTATTTACATGTTCTCATTGATGGTATATTTAAATGATGACAAGTAGTGACAAAGGATAAAGAGCAGTATGCAGCTTGTTCATGCTAAAGATTGATTCCTGTTGCTCGGGGAAGGTCACAGGACAGCACAAGTTGTACCAACGCCACTTGTGATTTCTCCCAAATAGGAAATGCTTTTCTGTTCATGTTCTCATTTCACTCCTGTGCTCACAGGAGTCACTTCTTATCCTAACCCCAAAACTTCCTGATTCCCCTCACTCTTTACAATGAGCAAGGCCTATGTTACATATATTCTTTCATTATTCTGTGGTTTACAACCCATTTTTTAAAATACAATTTAAGCTGTTCTCCAAAGAGAATTTCACAGAATATTTAAAAAATATGTTTAGAAAATGTAAGCACGATCGTTTTGAAGCCAGCTGCCTAGAAACTTGATACATAAGAAAGACGGTTATGGGTAGGAACAGTGATGGGGTGAGCAAGCCCTATATTAAATATATTCTTTCATTATTCTGTGGTTTATAACCCATTTTTTAAATTACAATTTAAGCTGTTCTCCAAAGAGAATTTCACAGAATATTTAAAAAATATGTTTAGAAAATGTAAGCACGATCGTTTTGAAGCCAGCTGCCTAGAAACTTGATACATAAGAAAGACGGTTATGGGTAGGAACAGTGATGGGGTCTTGGGCACCTAGGGATACACTGGGTTTAGGGTAAGGATAGTCTGAGACTTGGGTTTGTAGGTTTAAGTGTTAGTTTCTATCAGTCCTTTATTTTACAATTGATTTTAGCCATTTTTACTTTTCATTGGAAGACATTCTATTTTTTTATGATTATTTTTTTTGCTTTCTTTTCTCCTTGTTTGGGTTCCTCTGTGGTACTGTTCAGTTTATAGTTAACGCACTGTTTTTTTGGAGGGAGCCAGTGGCTGGTAATAGCTGCTTTAAAAACCTCATGAGCTCCCCCTGCTGTTTCACAGTTGACAATACAGGCCCTATTTAATTAAAATTCCCAGGAGCATACAAGTACATAAAAGAATTAGAGACGTCCTTGTAGAGTTGCTTCATCTAAGAGGCAGATTACTTGTTAAATTTCTCGAGAATATTTACAAAATAAGAAAGGAAAGGAAGGCTATTTTTAGCAGTTTATCTGGGCTAACACTCAGATTAGTGCAAGGGGCTGTACCCCTCATTTGATGTAAGAAGCAGTCTATGCCACTTTTAAGAAACTACCAATGAAGAGTGAAGAAATATATCATGAAGTTAATTAGATCTGAAATGGATTGACTAAAACCTGGAAGGTGGGTTTCTAGTCATTCCATTTTGATCTGTAAAGTTTCTTGAATATGTTTTTATTGATTTTAGAGAAAGAGGAAGATAGAGGGGGAGAGAGGGTGAAACATCGATGAGAGAGAGAAACACTGATTGGCTGCTTCCTTCATGTGCCCTACTGGGGATCAAGCCTGCAACCCAGGCATGTTCTCTGACCAGGAATTGAACCAGGGACCTCTCGGTGCATGGGATAAAACTCAACCAACTGAGCCACACCAGCCAGGGCATGATCTGTAAAGTTTTGATCTGAAAAAAAATAATATGCTTTCAAAATAAGCCATTGATATAGTTTCTGTTGTATTTAATATTTTCTAAATACTTCTTAAAACTTTACATGTGGTTTGATTTAAATTATGTGCCATAACTGAGTGAATTTTCATGCTAAAGACAATTATATATTACATAGAAATCACATTTATTAATCAGTATTTTTCAAAACTGTACTAGTTAATAGGGTACCATTCTATATCACAAGTTAAAAACATCAGAACATATGCATTCATCAGATTACAAATATATAATGGAACACCCAGTCACTAGCCCTAGTGAAAGCAGTGGGGATAAGAATGTGAACAAAATAGAGGTTTCTGCCAAGCCGGTATGGCTCAGTGGTTGAGCATCGACCCATGAACCAAAAGGTTGCCATTCGATTCCCAGTCAGGGCACATGCCTGGGTTGCGGGCTCGATCCCCAGTAGGGGGTATGCAGGATGCAACTGATGGATGTTTCTCTCTCACTGATGTTTCTATCTCTCATTCCCTCTCTCTTTAAAATCAATTTCTTTAAAAACATAAAAAAACAGAGGTTTCTGCCTTTGTGTAAATTACAGTCTATTAGGATAGACATTTGTGGTATAAAACATTCAGATGAGTATATAATTTAAAATGATAAGTTATTTGTTGGCTATGGCATCAAAAACACAGACAACAATAAAAAATAGATAAATTTGGCTTCATCAAAATTTAAAACTTTTGTGCCTGAAAGGACACAGCAACAGAGTGAAAAGACAACCCAAGGAATGGGAGAAAGTGTTTGAAAATCATATGTCTGATAAAGGGTTAATATCCAGAATATATAAAGAACTCCTATAACTCAACAACAACAAAAAACATACAACCCAATCTAGAAATAGGCAAAGAACTTGAATAGACATTTCTCCAAAGATACAAAAATAAGCACAGGAAAAGATGCTCAGCATCACTAACCATTAGAGATGTTTCTATCTCTCATTCCCTCTCTCTTTAAAATCAATTTCTTTAAAAACATAAAAAAACAGAGGTTTCTGCCTTTGTGTAAATTACAGTCTATTAGGATAGACATTTGTGGTATAAAACATTCAGATGAGTATATAATTTAAAATGATAAGTTATTTGTTGGCTATGGCATCAAAAACACAGACAACAATAAAAAATAGATAAATTTGGCTTCACCAAAATTTAAAACTTTTGTGCCTGAAAGGACACAGCAACAGAGTGAAAAGACAACCCAAGGAGTGGGAGAAAGTGTTTGAAAATCATATGTCTGATAAAGGGTTAATATCCAGAATATATAAAGAACTCCTATAACTCAACAACAACAAAAAACATACAACCCAATCTAGAAATAGGCAAAGAACTTGAATAGACATTTCTCCAAAGATACAAAAATAAGCACAGGAAAAGATACTCAGCATCACTAACCATTAGAGAAATGCAAATCAAACCCACAGTGAGGCACTACTTCACACCCATTAGGATGGCAATTATTAAACACACAACAAAAACAGAGACTAACAAGTACTGGTGAGATTGTGGAGAAATTGCAAGCCTGTGCATTGCTGGTGGGAATGGAAAATGATGTAGGTACCATGGAAAACAGTATGTGATTCCCCACAAAATTAAAAATAGAATTACCATATGACCCAGCAGTTCAGCTTTCGGGTATATACCCAAAAGAATTGAAAGCAGGGACTTGAACATACATTTGTAACCCAAGTTCATAGCAGCATTTTTTTCACACAAGCCAAAGGTGGAAGCAACCCAAGTAAGTACCCATCAACAGATGAATGGATAAACAAAATGTGGTACGTACATGTAACGGAACTACTCAGCCTTAAAAAGAAAGGAAATTCTGGCGCATGCTACAGCATGGAAATAAGCCGGACACAAAAGGACAAATATTGACTGATCTCGCTTTCATGAGATGGCTAGAATAGTCATTTCATAGAGACAGAAAGTAGAATCGTGTTGCTTGTGACCAGGGCCAGGGATTGAGCCTACAGCCGAGGTGCATGCCCTTGACCAGAATCAAACCTGGGTTTCAGTTTGAGGGCCGATGCTCTAGCCACTGAACCAGACCAGCTAGGGAAAAAATGGGGAATTGTTTAATGGGGACCGAGTTTTAGTAAGTTCTGGAGATAGTTGCACAGCAATGTAAGTGTACTGAATGACACAAAACTGTACACTTTAAGATGGTTACAATGGTAAACTTTATTTTCTGTGTATTTACCACAATTTAAAATAATTATGGTAAGTAATTTGAAGGGTGAAACCCACCAGCAGTGTATTAGGGTTCTTTTATCTCCACATGCTCCCCAGCACTTGTTATTTGTTGATTTATTGATGGTACTAGTAGCCATTCTCTCAGGTGTGAGGTGGTACCTCATTGTCATTTTAATTTGAAAAACAACAGATTTTCATCACCAGGTATTTAGTGAGGGAGGGAGGGACAGTCTGAGTGAAGTAGGTGGTCCAGGAAGGTATTGCTGATGCCTGAGGACTAGAGTGAGGAGTGCAGTGGGCAGAGTGTTTGAAGGCCCTAGAGGGGGGCGTGAGCACTGAGGGGAGACCAGGTGGTTGGTGCATAGATCCAGGAGGAGAACAGAAGGCAGTGAGGTTGGAGGGGTTGACAAGAGCCTGGAGCACAGAGTCTTGCTGACCGTGGTAAGTGGTTTGGATTTTATCGCAGTAATGAGAGGTTATTGAAGAAATTAGTGGAGAAGGAAAATACGATCTAAATTCCATTTTAACAGTCCATGCAGACTGCTGTGGAAATAGATTTTGAGGAGCCAGAAGTGTAAGAAATTGTAAGAAAATGAAAGGGATGGAGGGGAGAATCTATAGATTAAAAGAGGTTTAAAAGACATATCAAGCATTTTTAAATAAGCAAGACACAAACTAAACGATATTGTCCAGGGTTGCACATTTGGGTGACTTTTTTTTTTTTTAGAAATCCCAGGAAGTTATTACTGTAAAAGTCTGGATAGTGGTTACTTAGTTGGGGAGAAAGGGATTGGAACTGAGCTGAGGCTACAGGAGATGGCAAAGTTCTACTTTGTGATCTGCGTGGTAGTTACAAGGATGTTCACCTTAAAAATCAATCATTAAACCAGTATTTGGTTTATGTCGTTTCCTGTATCTTTGTTTAATTTTATAGTAAAATTAGAGGCCCGATGCATGAAATTTGTACAAGGGTAGGCCTTCACATGGCCCTGCCCCCTGCCCACTGGTCATTCCGGAAGGTTGTTCCACCATCCGGTCTAATTAGCATATTAGCTCTTTATTATATAGGAAGATTTGTAAAAAGCATTGTTTTTATTGGGTATTTTATTATCTTTAGTCTCTTCTCTAACATTCATAATTCTGTCACAATTTAGTAATACAATTGGGCCATGTTTGTATCTATCAGATCTTTATCGTACACATACATACTACACACTATTGAAACCATTATTTATTTCTACATCAAGCATTGCCTTAAAGATCCATTTTGGTGGCTTTCTACAGACACTCAACCTGTGGTTGGATCTTTGGGTTGCTTCCACACTGTAGGTAGTACTTGTCATCTGTTAAGTTTGGAGTTTAGTGTTTGCTTAATAAATATGCTGTTGTTTTAATGAAATAATGTTTTAATAGGAACAGAAAGATACTCCACTTTGTGTTCTTTTATTCAGTTTAATAAAAAAAGAGCCTAGTCTCAGAGCTTAAGCTACTCTAAGGAAGTACTACCATTTGTCTTTTGTAGACATTTCTCACACTCTCTGCTAACCTATGCTAGGTTCTGGTGCTAAAAAGATGAATATAATCTAGTGACCTTTTTAAAAGCTCAGAAATAAGTCAGTGATCAATAACAATGCAGAATTATAAAACTCTAAGTGCTATTGGGCTTCAACTCTTTTTTAAAAAAAATTTATTTCAGAGAGGGAGGGAGAGGATAAGGGAGAGAGAGTTAGAAACATCAATTATGAGAGAGAATCATTGATTGGCTGCCTCCTGCATGCCCACACTGGGGATCCAGCCTGCAACCCAGGCATGTGCCCTGACTGGGAATCCAACTGGGACCTCCTGGTTCATAGGTCAAAGCTCAACCACTGAGCCACGCCACCAGCCAGGCTGGGCTTCAACTCTTTATAGGGAAATCCTATGTAAAGGTTACAAACACAGGTCCCTCTCTCTCCAGTTCTCCTCCTCTCCCCACCGAAACCAGAATGGTCTTTCTTCTAATTAAGTCTTAAAACAATTCCCTGGCCATACAGACAGCCATTGATTTCTCAGAAGTTCCTGTTTCCTGATGTTGAGCCTTCACAGAGGATGTTTTCTACCTGAAACTGTCCTCCTTCCTTCCTTTTTTTTTTAATATATATATTTTATTGATTTTTTACAGAGAGGAAGGGAGAGGGACAGAGAGCCAGAAACATCGATGAGAGAGAAGCATCGATCAGCTGCCTCCTGCACACTCCCCACCGGGGATGTGCCCGCAACCAAGGCACATGCCCTTGACCGGAATCGAACCTGGGACCCCTGAGTCCACAGGCCGACGCTCCATCCACTGAGCCAAACCGGTCAGGGCTGTCCTCCTTCCTTTTATTCCCCAATTCACCTGGTTAATTCCTACACTTCCTTCAGGTATCAGCTGAAATGTCACTTTTTCTGCCTCCTTTGGACCAGTTGGGAGGCTCTGCTCTGGACTCTTTCCCTGCCCCCACCCCCAGCACCTAGAATGTTTCTTTTTAGCATTTATCAGACATTAATAATTGCTTCCTAATTGCTTCCCCATGTGACTGTATGACTGCTATCAGGAAATCACGAGGCTCACCCCCCATTTCCTCAGTCCCTGGCATGTATAGGCACTTCATAGGTGTTTGTCAAATGGATAATAGGGATTTACACAGATGTAATGAGTAACACAGAGAAGTGCCTGATGATATTGGGGGGTAGAAGGGGTAGGAAGATGGGGGTATCAGAGAAAGCTTTCCAAAAGAGCCAGTGGCTACATCATACAGTGGAAGATGAGATTTGCCCGGTAAGGAAGAGAGGTGAGGCAATTGGGATGGTGGTGGAATTCATTTCTAGAAGACAGGAAAGAGCATATGCCAAGGCAGGAGAGAGCTTGGCAAGTTTAGGCAATGACAAGTATTTTGGAAGACAGAACTGTAAGGGGTCAGAATAGGCAAGTTAGTTAGACCCAGTGACCCTTACTATCCAGGAAGGCTGAATTTACTGGAAGGGTGTTGTACGGAGAGCGGTGATGTAGCAGCACATGTCCTGAAACACGTGCAGCCCCGCTGAAGAGACTCGCATCCCATGCTTCCGATTCTTCTCTTAGGCGGGGCAGTTCCGGGATGATCTCAGAAGAATTCAGGAACTTGATCCCTCTCACACCAGCCGCATTGACCAGCAGGGCAGACTTGAAGGCGGCTTTGACTGGCCTGTGCATCAACCTGCATGAATATGACTGAAGTACCAGGAAGGAGGTGAGAGGTGAGTCTGCTCTAGAGACTAAAGAGAATGAGATACGTGCTTGTGCTTACTCTGACCATGGCCCATGTTTTAAAAAGAAGAGGTTAGAAATTACTCAGTTTATGTGTATGTCTGGACTTTCAAAGGATACATTTGAAAACTGGAAATGGTGGTTGTTTCCTAGGAGGGGCACTGGGTGGCTGGGGCAGAAGGGGCAGGGGGACTCCTCACTATGGACCCTTCGTACGTCTAACATTTTATACCATATAAATGGATTAGCTATTTAAAACTTATTTTAAAATCAGTGTGTGCATAGGAAGGTTTGAAGGGAACACATCCAGAATCTTAGAGCTGATATCTAGATGGTGGGATTGTAGGCGCTTTTGTATCCTCTTTGTACTCTTCATTGTGTGTCCAGCTTTCTACAATGAGCATATATTGCTTCTGTCATTAGTTTGTGGAAGTTATTTTTTTTAACCTGAATTTTAGAGACTGTATTTTGGGACATCCAACTGCCCAATTTGGAGGTCCTGGAGGACCTCAACTATATAGGTAAAGGAGAGTATTCCTAAACTTAGATCCAAACCATACTGTTCTAAGAAAGTGTGAAAATATTCCTGATTATGGCAGCTGTTGCATAGGAGGAAGGACACTGGACTTGGAAGCAAACATATTGTAGTTCAAATCCTAGCTCTGCCACAATATAGTTACATGACTTTGGACAAACCCTCAGTATGACTGATGTGCATTTTGGGTAGTGTTGAGAAACAAGGACTGAGAAGTATGCATTGGGAAGACCTGAAAAAAACTTGGACTTTGTCCTAAGAGTAATGGGCAAGCATTGAATAATTCTAAACAGAGGCCTTTCATATATGTTGTAGGAAAAAAATCACCCTTGCTGCTATGTTGAAAATGAATTCGAAGAAGAAGCAAAATGGAGGCTGGAAAATTGGTAGGAAGCTGACAAGGGACATTGGCAGCCTGATCTGTGGCAAAATAGAAATGAATGGATTCAATAGATAGGAGGTAAAATCAACAAGATGATGACTGGATGTGGAGTTTTGGAGAAGGGAGAGAGGCTGGTCAAGGGATAGTGGTGAATCAAGGAGTGACAGGTTGAGTCTACCTGGAGTGAGGATAGATCTGGAAATAAGACCACAGTGGTCTCCTTTCCATTGCAATGGATGGCTTTGCCTCGATTAAGGGCCCCAAAAGAATCCTTCAGGATAACTGGAGTCTATCCTATAAGAGAGAGAAAAAGGCTGGTGATCCGGGTGAAAGGGGGCAGGTAGAGAAAGAAGGAGCGAAGGTGAGGAAACATTTATGTTTTGATATAGCTATTGGGGAAGGAGGAGTTTGTCCAATAACTTTCTCTCCTGTTAGCTCCAGGGTGACTAGAAGACCCTACAGAGGGCTTTTAAGAAGCTACATGTCGATAGTAGTGGCTACGTTCCCTCCTCAGAATTCAGGTCAGCTCTTAAGCTCAGCCAAGTCCTCCTTTATGACGATGAGGTTTATCAGGTCCTGTCAAAGTATGGCCAGAAGTTAGATGGAAAAATAGACCACAAATCCTTTTTGGAAGAAGCTTGCAAACCCACACCTGAAGCCCCAAACCTCCACCAGGTGCAAACATAAACCCATCAGATATCCTCTTACCGACACCACTTGGTTATTCCCTACAAGACTGTCCTCAGAGAAAGTCATTTGCTGCTTTCTGGGCATTACTGTTTCCTAAACCCCATTATCCAACCCAAAGCACGTTCAGCCTTCCGGTGTCTCTTCCTGTCATACATAATTGGAAAGCTTTAAAGCACGTTCAGCCTTCTGGTGTCTCTTCCTGTCATACATAATTGGAAAGCTTTGGCAATGTGGTCTCACTGGTGAGTGTTCTTTTTATACCAAGGAAACAGGTATAAAGTCCTACCTCCAGTAGTTTTTAGAAATTATCTTTCTACTTTCAATTATAGTTTAAGAAATTCTTAGCCCAACTTCTTCCTTCTAGAATTCATGATACAGCAATGAAATGCCTTCCCCTGCAGCCTCTCCTCACCACGTACATTTGGGCCACCATCAGCCTCGGGTTCAGGTTCAGAATAATTATTATTCAGTTCTAATTTGACAGTTCTAGGGCTTCCAGAAATATAGTAGTCAGAACGTTTCATTATAGTCATAAAGCTTTAAGTACTATATTTTATTGACTCTTTCTTTTAAGCTACACATAATAAATGAGGCTAGTTGGGAATAGAGAGAGCAAAAGGTGCCCAGGTGCCCATTTCTCTTGAGGTCTTTCACCTGGCACCTTCTCTCTATTGCGCAGCCCAGAGTTCCTGCTCCAAGTTCCCACCGCCCTCTTCTATGGTTGGGTAACTTCCTGCTATCTCCCCTGGCCCCATAACACTGTCTGCTGCCTCCCTAATGCTCTGCTTCAGCTCTTCCTTCCAGGGAGAGGCTTTGTCCAAGATTATAATGGGACAGATTTGCAGACCTTCGTCAAGACTGCTGCTTGCCGAAACCGGTTTGGCTCAGTGGATAGAGCATCAAGACTGCTGCTTATCTTCCAAGCGAGCTAGAAATAGTTGGGTCCCTCCAGCTCTAACCTAGCAATTCTTTTCTGTGGGTAGCTCTTTACTTGGCCCCAGTTTGTCCATCATGTGCACAAACGTGTACACTGGCAGGCATCCTGTGCACACATACATGCAGGCAGTCCTGGACCTGTGCCGCCTGATGCATGAAGGCAAATGCCTGTGTCTTCCTCCCAGCTGCACATATGTAGGCACCCAGGTCCTGGGGTTTTAGAGTATTCGATAAATAAAGTCATTTTTTCTCCTGTCAGTGCCTAGAATCATTAGAGATGTAGGTGTCAGATGGAGATAAAAATGTCTATTTTGTGACTGTTTGGGGGCTGTGACTTCAATCTGCAGAGAGAGTGAGATTGCAGCATTTCATGTCAGATTAAACTCACTGGTAAAAAGCACAGGAAGCTGGAAATCTCCCCAGCAGCCCAGAGAGACTCTTGCTTGCTTCCTGTGGGCAGGTTCGCACCCAGAGAGGAAGAGGCAGAGGTAAGCTTGCCTGGTCTGCCTTCTAGACACCCCAATCAGGTAGCTGAGGGATAGAGGAGGGCTGCTGAGAGATGCTAAGAGTTATTGCTGCAGTGATCTCTGCCCACCTGGGACACATACATTTACATGGATAAATCCCTACACCAGGCCCCAGGTACATGGGGGATCAGATGTCTGGAGCCGAGCAATCAGAAAATGAGTTAGAATCAGAGCTGAAGGCCAAGTGGAAAGGGAGTGAGACTTAGGGGACAGGCTCCGGAGTTGGATGTCTGCAGCTGAGTTTCACCTACACCAGTGGTCGGCAAACTGCGGCTGGGCAAACCGCGGCTTGGCAAACCGCGGCTCTCGAACCACATGAGGCTCCTTGGCCCCTTGAGTGTGGCTCTTCCACAAAATACCAGCTCTTCTACAAAATACCGACTTCTGCACATGGGCCACGAAGTTTCAATCACACTGTACGTGCGCGCCTGCATGTGGTATTTTGTGGAAGAGCCACACTCAAGGGGCCAAAGAGCCGCATGTGGCTCGCAAGCCGCGGTTTCCCGACCACGGACCTACACCAAGGCTTGGGTCTGGAGCCCTGAGTGGAGCAGCCAGCTGATGAATGGAATAGATAAAAGGACCTGAGTCGGGGGAAATTGGGAGAAAGCTGAGAAGAGCATGAAGCTGAAGCTGCCATAGGAAGTATCATTAGTAAATATTGAATTAGTTTATTTACTCCATGTTTCAATACAGAATTTGCGATGGCCAAGATTTGTGTGTGAATAGGCATTGGAGAGAGAATGTAAGAGTGCAGGTATATGGGCTATTGCCAGATAACATGAGACCAGTTCCTGTATGAGAAAGAGCGGAGAGATAGCCTTCCACAGTAACAGAGGGGCTCTGACTACCAGCCATCACTTGGAGGATGAATTGACCGGGGGATGAAGTTAGAGTTCCCAACCCCCACTTGCCCTAAAGGAGGAATACTGACGTGTTCCAGAACAAGCCTTGGGGTGTAAGAACAAGCCCTGAGGTTTAAAATTTTTTCATGATTTGCCTTCGAATTTTGATTTTTAGTTTGAGGTGGCTCCAAGGATCTGACTCTTTGGGAGAAGGGAGGAAGGAATAGGTAATTATAATAGCTCACATGTATTGAACATTCACTGTGGCTCAAGCACTGTCTAGAGTGCTTTGAATGTACCAGTTCACTTAATCCTCATAGCAACCTTATCAGGTATATGTGCTTTTAATAGCTCCATTTTATAGATGTTGAAACAGATGTGAAGAGGCTCAGCAATTTGCCTCAGCAACGGCACACAGCTAGTACACAACCGAGCTGGTACAAATCCAGGCATTCTGGCTGCAGAAGCCACAGTCCGAACAACTAGGGTGGCGGAAAAGAGGGTGGAGTCAGCCCAGTCTTGGATCTTTCCCATGTGAAAGGATCGGAGCCCCCTTAGGCTAGTTCTGAATTCACATCCTACAGGTGGGGTCTACATTTCGGTGGGCCTGCACCTTAACCGTGCAGGCCAAGCATCATCCCCTGCTCAGAACACAGGTGGATGTTGCAGGGAGAAGCAGGGTCACTGCTCCCGCGGACAGCTCCTCAGAATGTGCACATTATTCAACAAGATGACAAGTGGCTGCACGAGTACTTTCTAGTCTCTGCTGAAGTCGGGAGGGAACAGAGGCCAGAAACAAGAGGTCTAGGGGAGATGCGGGATTCTAAGAGGCCCAGCACCATTGGTTCCACAAGTATATTTATTGGGCTCCTAACTGCATGACCCTTGTCGCCTTCCGTTTCTTGGTGTGTTACTCTGCGCAGATACCCATCCCCAGGTTTCTGGGGATCCATACTTGTGGGGAGTCAGGTAGGCACTTACATAGCTGCTCCTCCACCTTCCTTGCCTGGCATCTCGCAGCCTAGACAGGAGGCCCCAGCGATATGCGAGCTGTGTTTGTTCAATACGCTTGGAAGCACTAGTGAGCTCTGTATTACCGCCCTGTGGCCTGTGGCCGGAGTGCCTGGAAGTGCCTACTTCTCGCCCTGCAGAGCCACAGGACACACCCAGAGCACAGCCATCAGCTTTGTTCCTCAAGCCCCTGGAGAAAACCTTTGATTTCATGGGATGATTATTTTTCTTCTTGCCCACTCAAGGATGAAGCCCAAGAAACAAGAGGTTGCTCCTTTCAGAGGCATCACAATGGGTCACCTCCAGCCAAACCCACTGTTTTTTGTTATTCCTGGGTTTGGTTGAGCCTCTCTTGGAAACCATTACTATACAACTCACTTAAAAGAAAGAGTGGAGGGATCGGGCCTGAGAGACTCAGACGGAGGGGGGAGGAGCTGGGGGCTTGGGACAGCCAGGCTGGAAGTAATGTGTTGTCCGAGAAAGTACAGGAAGGACACATTAAAGTTTCACTCTGATTTGAATCAAGGCCATTTTGTAGTGACATTTTAAACCTTTTGCAAAGTCAAACTACTCCAAGTTTGACTTTTAGGCAAGCCTAGAGAACTGGAACTTTGGATGAAGGTTTCAGAAAAGGACAACACACACACACACACACACACACACACTCACACACACACACACACACACACAGGAAGGGGGAAGGAAGGGGGAAGGAAGGGGAGGGAGACTTTTATCCTAAAGTCATTGTAAATCCAAAGCAGGGTTTTATCCTCCACAGTTAAATGAGAAAGAAAAAAATCAAGAATACCAACATTCGAGGTACAAAGACTGTCATGGGCCAGTGGAAGTTTGCAGAATTATATGTAAATGACCAAAGTTTCTTACTGTGGTGGCCCTGTGCATTTCCAGAGCTAATCCCAGAGAGAAAATCTACTTAGCAAAAGAAAGTTTTGTCTAATTTGGTTAACAGTTGAGAAGTGACAAAAATGCTGAATATATTAATAATTTATATTTCCAGGGTAACACTATATCTGTAATGCTTCACTGCCAGGGGAATTCAGATGGGCTTAGTGCTCGGAGGAGAAAAGCCTGAAAGGCCTTCCTCAGATTCTGTACCCGGCGCTGAGGAAAATGGGTGTAAGACATGTGTTCCAATAATAGGCGCCATGCAGGCTGCCCTTTCGCTTGGTTTGTTTCCGTCCCATATTGCTCAGTGTATATTTGTTATCCAGTGGGCCTCCTGGCCTTACACTCACTTTCATGCTCCAGCTATGTCAGTTCATAAAGGAGGAGATATTTGTTTGCACATCACAGTTTTTAGATAAGTACTGCAGCAACATGTAGTGCATGTAAGGACAAGAACCACTTACGAGGCCTTTTCTAAAGTTTATAATCCCCCCCCCCCCAAAAAAAACAACAACAAACACATACACATTTAAGTTTCAATGTATGGACAATGGAATGGAATGAGGCCATTTGTTTTGTCCTGTCTCTGTATAATCAAGTTTGATGGTTTACAAATTGCAGGTCATCCTATTCCATGACCTCAGTAAACAGCACAGGTCAGAGCTCCCTTAAACCCTGTCCACAGAAACGGAGTAAGCTAATCATTGTCCTCCAGCTAATCTGGGAGCAGACAGACCATCACAGTTGAGCTAAATGGCCCCTGGAAACAGAACCTGCTACATAATTTCGAATTCTTTATGTAATTGCATCAAAGCCAACAGGAACAAAAAGAAAAGATGGAACAAAGAAAAGGGTCAATAAAGGGAAACATTTAAATCCCCATAAACACAACTTTAGCTGATTGGGCACCTTATTGAATTCTGTCTGTTTATATAAGACAACAGCCAGGCTTACTTTGCTGTTTAGGTCTTAGTAAAACATGATTTTAGCTCGCTATTTTAAATGTATCCCTGTTTTATGGGTAAGGTGCAGATCCAACTGGAATTGAAAATCATAATCCCTTAAAGATACCAGCCAAGTCTCCCCTAGACAGCCCCAAACTTGCCTGTGTTCTGGGTGGAGCAGGAAGGTTAAATACCCGCTCCTTGCCCACCCCCTGGGATGGGGATGAGGAGAAGCCTTTGCTTCCAGGCCTGAGAACCTGAACCCCAAGCCAGTGGCACAGAGTGGGGATCCGCATTGTAGGGAATGCGGAGGAAACAGTCCCTGGGGAGCTCATCTCCTAGCCCAGCCGAGCTGGCCTCACCCTGATGCCTAGTTCCCTGGAAGCTGAGTCCATCTGTGCGCAAAAGGCAATGCCAGCTTCCCTAAACCCTCCGGAGCAGGGATTAAAACACAACGAAACAAAAAACCTTCCTTGGATGTTAAGGCTGTAAATTTTGTCGCCCACTCAGCAGCCTGAGTGAAACCACTCTCCAGACCAGCGGGCCCTACATCCCTGGGCCTTGTCGTGGGGCAGGAAGGGCGGCCGGTCTGAGCTGGGCAAGTCCGCCAAAGCCAGTTTGGGGCGAATCCTTGGACTTGAATTATCTGAGAGCCAATAGCCCCGTTACTCCTTACTCGCGTCTGCCCTTCCCCTGAGCAAATGCCCAAGATGCATGTGGGGCGGAGAGGGTCTGCAGCCTCAGGGGAGCCTCAAAATCCAGTCCCAAGGACACCTCCACTTAGCTCCCCACCCCCGCCCCCTCACACTGCACAGGGGTGGGGGGAAGCTCCCCAAATCACTGAGGGCCATCACCTTAGCCCCTGTGAGCCCCTGGCCCCGAGCACCTCCGAGGGATGGATTGTGGAGGAGCAGAAGGTAAAGAAAGCCATCTCTTTGGGTCTTTAACAGAAAACATTTATTGCCGGGGGAGAGCCTTCAGAAGACTTGCTTTGCTCTTGGCCTTCCCCATCCGCTGTTGGTCGGCACACTATATACACCTGTACAACATGCAGTATCTCCTAAGCAGCGCAGCGCCCGTGCCCAGAGAAAGCCGGCGGGCGGCGGGTGTCAGAGAACTTGGGGGTGCTGGGGCGGGTGCAGGTTGAGGCCGTTGGGGTGGGCGTGGCCGATTAGGTTGAGGTAGTGTCGATCCAGGCCCTGCACGGGCGCTAGGAAGGGGCTGTGCTGCTGCGTGGGGCTGGGGAGCGC